TTTTTTTTTTTTTTTTTTTTTTTACAATTGTCAGAGATAATCTTAATTTTTTTATTTTTATAAATAACATATATTTTTATAATCTTGTTCAGCCTTTCAGACCATTATAGACAACAAAATCAATAATAAATAATCTTAATTTTTTTGTTTAGATATAAATTTAAAAAAATTTCTACTGAAGATCCCTGTGGAATAATTAGGGACGAGAAAAAAACATTGTGTTTGATGTAATACAAAAGGAAAAATAAGAAGTATAAAATGGTAGGTCTCACTTTATTTTAATACCCTCTAAATAGAGTAAATTCTAGCCAAAGGGTAGCTTGTTACCATTGTACCCTTTTTATATGCACACACATTCGAGTTCAAGTGGTTATCACTATGATGTCGATTCATACATTCATAATCAATTATCAAATGTTTTTCATAACTTGGAGGCTTTGACATATCCATTTAATCAATTGTGTGTAAGCATCCTCGAATATGTTGAATGAAATGCATTTTGGTTCTTTCTAAAAATTCGTATAATCTATTATGTTCATTATATAATTTTTTTTAATTAAAATATATTTGAATAAACGATTTAACATAAATTAATTTACAATATCATTTTAGCATAAACATATTTTACTAGTATCTAACTTATTTTCACAACTTACAGTAACTTATAAAAATAAATTAGCTTATAAGTTTCTTATTTTTTTTATTTTTATATTTATTAATTTATTTGAAATTTCTTTTCACCTAAAATAACTAAATATGTCATTTTATATTATTTTACATTTATTGATTACCTTGTAAGCTAATTTTACAAAACATTATTTATTCAATGAGTTTTCTTATCAATTTCAAATTTTAAATTCCTAGATTATAAGTTAGTTTTGTGTGTTTTAATAATCTCATGATATTATTGTCCATTAAGATGACCCAAATAAAACCGGTCTCAATTTTTTAAGATGATGTTGGAAAAAGGGATACAGAAAATTAGTAGATAATGAAATTTTCCATTACAGATTAATAAGGACGTCTAACTCAGTTCATTGTGCATATATATTCGTTACTGTTAGTCTGTTACTGTCTTCCATTCACATGCATAAAAAAATTGTCTTTCTGAATTATTTTATAAAACATTTATCATGTGAAAAATGACCGTTTGAACTTTGAAAGTACTATGGACTAGGAAAAAATAAATGGTGAAGATTATAAAATAAAATTATGTGTATTAAAACATCATTTGGGTTCAGTATTTCTCCTTTTTTTTATTTGTAAATTGGTACGAAAATAATTCGTATAGACCAACACAAGTTAGGAAAATGATCACTTTCATGGAAGGTTCAAACCTAGAAGTGATGAGTGATAACTAGTTTTAAGATGAAAAAAAATTAGAAAATTACGTATTGGCGTGTGTTTGAGATAGCTCTTAAGATTAATATATATGAAAATTAGATTACGTATAATATATTATTTTATAATAAATTTTTATTTGAGTGAGTTTATTCAAAAGCAGTTTAAGATATTTAATTTAGTTTAAATGCAAAAAATAATAATTTTTATATAATAAATTAAATAGAAGAAAAAATAAAAAATAATCATAAATTTTAAATTTTCAAAAGCGTAAAAACAACTTGTCTTTTAGAAGATAAAAAATATCTTTTATGAATTTTAGTCATTGTTTTAAATAATATATAAATTATTTTACAAATAACTTTTTTCTTAAAAAAAACCAACCGAAAAGAGAAAAAATAATCACTTTCAAGCGTGTTCTTAATATTGTAAGAACAAAAGGTTAATAATAAAAAAATCTTTAATCTTACACAGACAAAAAAATTTGTTGAAAAAGGCAAATTTATTTCACCAATCTTCATATACCGGTAGAAATTATTCTTCAATCATCAATTGGAGGATATTTTTTTTATACAAATAAAAATCAATCCAAAATATTATATTAATATTAATATAAAAAAATAGATATTTCTTAAATAATTTATCTTTGTATTTTGTTAATTGATATTTTTACCCATTTTAATAAGATACATTTAATTCCTTTAAAATTAACAATCATTTGATAGTCACAATTAAACATGATAAGAAAATAATCATATCATGTTACAATCAATTGTTTAGCTCACTAGTAAAATATAATATTTATTTTATTCCTCATCTAATCCTGTTAGTATAATGTATTTCTTAGGCCGACTTTCGTCCTTGCTCAACGAGTGGGTCTTGCAGTCAAACTCCCTTTTATCCTTGCACTCGAGGGTCAATCTCCGTCTGGCCCGAGGAAACATTTGCACGCCTTCGTTACCTTTGGAGAGGCCTACGCTCCATAGAAACTGTCTACTGAGACTGTTCCTTGGCCCGTAGATCCTAACACAAGGTTAGAATTCTAGCTCTTCCAGAGTGGTATCTCACTGATGGAGATGTAAGAAAAATAACCAATTTGACCCTTAGTCCAAGTATTATATTTGGATATTTATTAAAATCCCCTTTTGGAGGAGAATGATGGATTGTTAGTGTGGACAATTTGAAAGATATAATTGAAGGGCATGTATGGTTAGGTTCCATTTGTATATTTGGTAGAATTTGACATATCTTAACCAAACCCTTTGACGATGAAGTTGGACTAAAAAGTAAAAATACATGATAATCACTCTTTCTCCCTGTCACCACCCTACCTTTACACATACTACAACAAATATTACAACCAATTTTTGTCACCACTCTTGTTATAATTATTATTGTTACTATTACTATCACTATCATCTATCATTGTATCATTATTATTGTTTTTATGTTTATCACTATTTACTATCATCTTTTGTCATTGTTATCGTTGTTACCAGCATATCTAACCCTTAACGTTATCACTATAATCATTATCATTATTATCATCATAATTACCACAATCATGCTTGTCACCATTCACATTATCATGCTTGTTGTCACCATTCTTATTATTGTCGTCACCATTTTCATTTTTGTCAAAATGATCATCATTAACACTATCAATATCATCCAATCATTATTACCATCATAAGGCTATCCAACCATTCTCACCATTACAACCACTATTACTTACATTGTGTGAGGTAAAGAGGAAAGAAATGAAAGAAAAAGAAAAATAAAAAATAAGTGTAGGAAAGTATAGGAAAATAGAGTGAAATAAAAGTTATTTAGTAAGAGAGAAATAGAAAGAAAATAGAATAAAAGTTAAATTATTTTTATATATAATTTTTTTTAAAATAAATAAATATATTATTATTTAAATAAATA